AAAGTCTCAAGAGTTGCTAACAATCAACACTCATAGAGGTCTCTACCAGTTTACTCGCTTACCATTTGGTGTGAAACCAGCACCCGCAATTTTTCAGCAGATCATGGATACTATGCTTGCTAACCAACCTGGTGTTGCTGTCTACCTCGACGATGTGATAATCACAGGGAGTAGTAAGTCTGAATTGTTTGATCGACTTGACGCTGTGCTATCCAAAATGTCAGAGTTTGGGTTCTACCTTAAAGAGGATAAATGTACATTTTTCATGGATTCAGTAAAGTATCTTGGGTTCATTTTCGATCAACATGGACGTCGACCAGACCCAGAAAATGTACGTGCTATTCAGAATATGCCCGCTCCCACTAATGTTGCCACTCTGCGATCTTTCCTTGGCCTCATCAGCTATTACAGTGCATTTCTACCAGAGCTTCATCACATACGTGCTCCACTGAATCGCCTGTTATCGAAAAATGCAAAATGGAATTGGTCACCTGAATGTCAAAATGCATTTAAAAAAGTAAAATCGTTACTCCAGTCAGACATGCTGCTTACTTATTATGATCCAAGTCTTGAAATCATCCTTGCTGCAGATGCATCCGACTATGGTATTGGTGCTGTTATATCTCATCGTTTTCCTGACGGAAGGGAGAAAGCTATTGCACATGCATCTAGAACACTGAATACAACCGAACGCAAATATAGCCAAATTGAGAAAGAAGGTTTGGCGCTTATCTTCGCAGTCAAAAAGTTTCACAAAATGCTTCATGGTAGGAAATTCACTCTATTTACTGACCATAAACCCCTGTTATCGATATTTGGTTCGAAAAAGGGCGTTCCAGTGTACACTGCGAATCGGCTTCAAAGGTGGGCTGTCATGTTACTGGGATATAATTTTGATATCAAATACAAACCTACCTCTGAATTTGGCCAGGTAGATGCATTATCACGGCTGCTAAGCCATCAGAAGTTGGAAAGCGAGGATGTTGTTATTGCATCCATCTCTGTTGAAGATGATGTAAACAGAGTTCTGGTAGGCGCGACTCAACTTCTTCCGGTGACTGCAGTTGAGGTTGCCAGACACACACTGCGTGATCCAGTTTTACAGCAAGTATCAAAGTTCATCCGATTTGGCTGGCCTCCACATGTTCATTCAAATGTTTTAAAACAGTTTTACCAGCGACGCCAATCCCTATCCATCGTTAATGAATGCATAATGTTTGCTGATCGTGTTGTGGTTCCAGCTAATCTTCGTGACCATGTGCTTCGGCAGCTTCATATATCACATCCTGGTGTTGGGAGAATGAAGGCGATCGCTCGCAGTTATGTTTACTGGCCCAACATCGATGACCATATCGAAGACCTCGTTCGCAAGTGTAGTAAATGTGCTCAAGCATCAAAGTGTCCACGCAAGACAGAACTATGTTCCTGGCCACGACCGGACAAACCATGGTCCCGTGTTCATGTTGACTTCGCTGGACCGTTCAATAGTATGCATTTCTTAATATGTGTCGACGCGTTTTCCAAATGGCCAGAGATATTTCCTATGCATTCTGCCACATCAATTGCAACAGTGTCCCACCTACGTCAACTATTCTGTCGTTTTGGTATGCCTGATGTTCTGGTGTCCGATAATGGATCGCAGTTCACCTCATCACTGTTCTCAGATTTCTGCAAACTGTTTGGCATCCAGCATATTCGTAGCCCCCCGTATCATCCCCAATCGAATGGACAGGCTGAACGTTTCGTCGACACCTTTAAGCGTGCTTATGCAAAAGCGAAGGGGGAGGGAACAACAGAAGAAATTTTGGATAGATTCTTGCTGCATTATCGTACGACGCCAAATCCTTCCGCCCCAAATCAGTTATCCCCAGCGGAAATTATATTTGGCCGAAAGATCAGAACTGCCCTCGACTCAATTAAGCCTAGGCAAGTAAAGCAGGGCTGCAGAAATACAAAAATGGAAAACCAATTCAATCGCCATCACGGAGCTAAACGTCGAGTTTTCAAATTGTATCAGCAAGTTTATGTACGAGATTTCCGCTATTCACCTCCGAGATGGATTCGAGGACAAATAGTGGGGCAGAAAGGAAGGGTTTTATACAAAGTGAATGTAGAAGGACAGTTATGTGTCAGACACACGAATCATATACGAGATGCGTCAGATAGACCTGACAATGGGAGACGAGACCTCACGTTAGAAGTATTAGTAGATACATTTAATCTTCCGCAGCCGGAAGCCCGGGACACAGATCACACTCTATCCAGTACCATGCGAAGGTCAACTCGACAAAGAAGAGCTCCGAAACCTTTTCAAATAGATCCAAAAAGCAAGTCCTACACTCTTTACGGGGAGAGGTGATAGGATCCCACATATTTTGGTATTGACTGTTAATCTTGTATATATGGTATATTATCATTCTCACACATTTTGGTATTGACTGTTAATCTTGTATATATGGTATATTATCATTCTCACACATTTTGGTATTGACTGTTAATCTTGTATACATGGTATATTATCATTCTCACACATTTTGGTATTGACTGTTAATCTCGCACATATGGTATATTATCATCTCTCACGCACTTTGTTATTGGCTATTAAGATCAATTATTTCAAATGCTGTTAACTGTCCATATTGCTGTAAAATGTATAAATACCATGGCTTTCTTTGTCGTTGTTGCACTTCAATACACAGTCACAGTCCAGCCTTTGTCTTTTGATATTTGCGTGCTTTACTAAATCGGAAGGTACGACAAGCAGATAGGCAGATTACTTCAGGCGCAGACAGAGCAAGGTGAAAACGTCCTCATTCAATTCCCTACCGTTATAACAGATACGAATCGGCACATATCCTGAAAAGGAAGTTCCAGATTCCGTAAATCCGACAGACACCTTATTCTCGTATTTCTCTTCTTGGACAAAACTTCGTAGAGCGGTAGCCTGGTTAAAAAGGTTTAAAGTTTTTCTACTAAAACGTCTAGTGCAAGGCCCTTTACAAACGTGTGAGATGTTAGAGGCAGAGGAAGATATCCTTAGATACGTGCAAAAACAAGAGTTCGGTAAAATCAAAGGAGTTATGTGTGAACGCCATTTGGATAGTAAATACAAGCCACTCCTTCAACGTATCAAGAAACTGCATCCTGTCATCTTAGGTGACTTGATATGTGTCGGCGGACGACTGAATAATAGTCAACTGTCAAGTTCGGAAAAACATCCAGTTATATTGCCAGGAACTCATCCTGTCACGGAGGTTATTGTTCGTTATTATCATGAGACTGAAGGACATATGGGAGTAGTCCATCTTTTGTCAGCATTGCGTATGAAATATTGGATATTGAAAGGAGCGTCAGTAGTTAAGCGTGTGGTGAATAAATGCATCGGTTGCCGAATCAGGTCTGCAAAACCTACTGAACAACTGATGGCAGAATTAACCATAGCAAGGGTCACGTCAGATTTTCCATTCTCTAGCACCCGGGGTAGATTACTTCGGCCCCTTTATCGTTAGGCGGGGGCGGACTACAGACAAAAGACATGGATGCATATTCACTTGTTTGAAAACTCGAGCGGTTCACTTAGAAGTAGCTTACGCTCTTTCTATTGATTCATTCCTAATGATGCTTTCACGCTTTACCAACCGCAGGGGGACTCCGAGGGAGATATTCAGTGACCGGGGTACAAACTTTGTGGAGGCTGATCGTGAGTTACAGCAAGTTGTGCCACAATTAGACAGTGATTGTATGATGAGAGCTATGGCAAATCGTGGTATAGAATGGAAGTTAAATCCACCTTATGCTAGCCACCGTGGCAGAGTATGGGAGGGGTTGATCAGAAGCGTACGTCGAGTGTTAAGCGCAGTTTCGAAGGAGCAAGTCCTCACAGATGAATCACTCATGACCTATTTGACAGAAGTAGAAAGGATACTAAATAGTAGGCCGCTAGTACCTGTTTATGATGACCCAAGTCAGTTGGATGTGCTGACACCAAATCATATTCTCTTATCAAGAAATCCTGAACAGGTTCCTGAAATCGACGTTAGTTTATGTGGACGTTATTCACGACGATGGAAACAAGGGCAACTCCTTGCCGATACGTTTTGGAGATGGTGGAAGCGGGTGTACTTGACGACCTTACAATCGCGTGCAAAGTGGTTTCAACGACATCGAAACTTACAAGTGGGAGACCTAGTACTAGTGACTGCTGAGCCTTCACCTCGCAATCGTTGGTCAATGGGAATAATTACAGGCGTTACGGCAATCTGTGATGGGTATATCAGATAAGTGGATATCAAGACACCGAGGGGTATAATCAACCGAGATGTGCGTAAGGTTTGCCTATTAGAAGGTATTGAGGAGAGATAAGCACTTTGTAGGATATATAGCTGGATAGTGGATGCAGATGTGGCGAGAGTAAATTGTACCATTTCTGTGTCTTACTAGCAGGTAGAGTAGGGAAAACCAGGCTGGTTTTGAGAGGGCGGTATTAATTCCTTTCCTACCTGTTCATTCTCAATCTTTCCTTTCTTCAACTTGCCATTAGTAAGTAGTATGATTTTTTATATGTTAATTTATAACAATGACATTTGCTTACAACTGCAGTTAAATTACTTGTTCTACTATCATTCTATTAATATATTAAATATTCCCATAGTAAAATTTAGAACAACACATTTAAGCGAACAATATTGTTTTCAATTAGATCTCATCAGGCTTAACTCTAATATATATAAGTTTACAAATAAAAATTCAAATATAAACCAATCACGGTGTTTTGTCTATAGGATAATACGATGGTGAATATCGATTGTGCAGTTATTCACCATCGTATTATCCTATAGACAAAACACCGTGATTGGTTTATATTTGAATTTTTATTTGTAAACTTATATATATTAGAGTTAAGCCTGATGAGATCTAATTGAAAACAATATTGTTCGCTTAAATGTGTTGTTCTAAATTTTACTATGGGAATATTTAATATATTAATAGAATGATAGTAGAACAAGTAATTTAACTGCAGTTGTAAGCAAATGTCATTGTTATAAATTAACATATAAAAAATCATACTACTTACTAATGGCAAGTTGAAGAAAGGAAAGATTGAGAATGAACAGGTAGGAAAGGAATTAATACCGCCCTCTCAAAACCAGCCTGGTTTTCCCTACTCTACCTGCTAGTAAGACACAGAAATGGTACAATTTACTCTCGCCACATCTGCATCCACTATCCAGCTATATATCCTACAAAGTGCTTATCTCTCCTCAATACCTTCTAATAGGCAAACCTTACGCACATCTCGGTTGATTATACCCCTCGGTGTCTTGATATCCACTTATCTGATATACCCATCACAGATTGCCGTAACGCCTGTAATTATTCCCATTGACCAACGATTGCGAGGTGAAGGCTCAGCAGTCACTAGTACTAGGTCTCCCACTTGTAAGTTTCGATGTCGTTGAAACCACTTTGCACGCGATTGTAAGGTCGTCAAGTACACCCGCTTCCACCATCTCCAAAACGTATCGGCAAGGAGTTGCCCTTGTTTCCATCGTCGTGAATAACGTCCACATAAACTAACGTCGATTTCAGGAACCTGTTCAGGATTTCTTGATAAGAGAATATGATTTGGTGTCAGCACATCCAACTGACTTGGGTCATCATAAACAGGTACTAGCGGCCTACTATTTAGTATCCTTTCTACTTCTGTCAAATAGGTCATGAGTGATTCATCTGTGAGGACTTGCTCCTTCGAAACTGCGCTTAACACTCGACGTACGCTTCTGATCAACCCCTCCCATACTCTGCCACGGTGGCTAGCATAAGGTGGATTTAACTTCCATTCTATACCACGATTTGCCATAGCTCTCATCATACAATCACTGTCTAATTGTGGCACAACTTGCTGTAACTCACGATCAGCCTCCACAAAGTTTGTACCCCGGTCACTGAATATCTCCCTCGGAGTCCCCCTGCGGTTGGTAAAGCGTGAAAGCATCATTAGGAATGAATCAATAGAAAGAGCGTAAGCTACTTCTAAGTGAACCGCTCGAGTTTTCAAACAAGTGAATATGCATCCATGTCTTTTGTCTGTAGTCCGCCCCCGCCTAACGATAAAGGGGCCGAAGTAATCTACCCCGGTGCTAGAGAATGGAAAATCTGACGTGACCCTTGCTATGGTTAATTCTGCCATCAGTTGTTCAGTAGGTTTTGCAGACCTGATTCGGCAACCGATGCATTTATTCACCACACGCTTAACTACTGACGCTCCTTTCAATATCCAATATTTCATACGCAATGCTGACAAAAGATGGACTACTCCCATATGTCCTTCAGTCTCATGATAATAACGAACAATAACCTCCGTGACAGGATGAGTTCCTGGCAATATAACTGGATGTTTTTCCGAACTTGACAGTTGACTATTATTCAGTCGTCCGCCGACACATATCAAGTCACCTAAGATGACAGGATGCAGTTTCTTGATACGTTGAAGGAGTGGCTTGTATTTACTATCCAAATGGCGTTCACACATAACTCCTTTGATTTTACCGAACTCTTGTTTTTGCACGTATCTAAGGATATCTTCCTCTGCCTCTAACATCTCACACGTTTGTAAAGGGCCTTGCACTAGACGTTTTAGTAGAAAAACTTTAAACCTTTTTAACCAGGCTACCGCTCTACGAAGTTTTGTCCAAGAAGAGAAATACGAGAATAAGGTGTCTGTCGGATTTACGGCTGTTTGTGTCGTTAAGATGGTGGCTTGCTTTAGCTTTATGTCAGATGGAATTATTGGCACGCTTTTTCCATCGAAATTCGGCCAATCCTTTTTAGGATTTTTGAGAAATCCAGGACCATCGAGCCAGGTATGTATACGCTCGTACTCACTCATCTTTATTCCCCTGGAAGCAAGGTCAGCTGAATTCATATTAGTTGGTACATGTCGCCATTGAGCCCGCGTAGTGTTATCAAGTATAAACCCTACTCTGTTAGCTATGTAGGTTTTGAAGCGGGATGTGGTATTGCGGATGTAGCTTAACACAATCATAGAATCTGTCCATAGATAAACATCACTTAGTTCCAACTTTATTTCCTCTAAGATGTATTTTAACAGCTTCACTGAGAGCACGGCTGCCTGTAGTTCTAAACGTGGCACGGTGACATGCTTCAAGGGAGCCACTCTAGATTTGCCCATAACAAAGCTGCAGCTTACTTCCCCTGAACAGGACTCGTAACGTAGATATGCTACTGAACCGAAACCTATTTCAGAGGCATCCGAAAATAAGTGCATTGAAACTGCTATAGGACTGAAGGTCTGGGGTCGAAAACAACGTTGAACCTCTAGATCCTTAATTCTCTTAATGTCAACAAGCCAAGCCTCCCATTTGGCACCGATACTCACGTCAACATGTTCATCCCACCCAAACTCACTTCGGCACAGGTGTTGCATTACTCTTTTAGGTGGAAGTAGTAGTGGGGCGACATAACCGAGTGGATCATATAAAGAAGCTATGCACGACAAGATTCCCCTCTTCGTTATCGGACGTACTGGCAGATTTACTTCAAACTTGAAGCAATCTGACTTGACACACCAGCATAAACCCAGTGTCTTCTTCGTCGAATCTTCTAAATGCAGTATGTTTGAGGACCGTTCACGAACGGGAATGTTGGATAACACTTCTTCATTGTTACTATTCCATTTGTGCAAACGAAATCCACCAAGAGAGGCGAGCTGACGCAGCTGGTTGGATAAAGCTATGGCTTTTGCTACTGTTTCTACTGAGACTAGACAATCATCCACATAGAAATTTTCTCTGACAGTGCTTAATGTCTTCTCGTCAAACAATTTCGCGTTGTCGATTGCGGCTCGTTTTAAAGCATAGGCTGCACAAAAAGGTGATGAGGTAGCACCGAAGGGATGTACGTTTAATTCATACAGGCTCGGTGGTAAGTCCAGTCTACCCTCAGAATACCATAAGAAACTAAAGGCACTTTTATCCTTGACAGGTAAGTGAACCTGAAGAAACATCTCCTCAATATCTGCTGACAAGGCTATCCGATGTTTTCTAAATCTCAATAGTACCCCAGCCAAGTCATCCATCAGATCAGGTCCCGAATACAGACAATCGTTCAAGGACATTCCCTTACATTTAAAGGCACAATCGAAAACCACTCTAATTTTACCAGGCTTGCGGGGATTTATAACTGGGTGGTGAGGGATAAATCTACGTTTCTTGGAGAAGTCGTCAGGAACGCGACTAATACAACCCTTCAACTCATGGTCTGTTAGTATTTGATTGTAGGACTTTAATAGGCTTTCGTCCTTTCTTAGTTTCTTCTGAAGACTGTCCAGCCTGCGTTCTGCCTCAAACCTATTAGGCGGTAATCTACGCCAGTCCTCTTTCCAAGTCAATGGAACTTCATAATGTCCGTTCCGCAATCTTATCTCCCTATCGGTTGCCTTCAGAACCTCTTTATCTATTTCAGAACTGGACCTTTCGCATGAGTGCTTGTCCTGAAATTCAGCTTCAATCATTCGCAAAAGCTTGTTCTCTACTGATTCACTTTCCTCTAAGCAGAAGATAGAGGTTGCTTCTTTATATTCGTTTCCTGAACCCAATAAATACCAACCAAAAACTGACAAAGATGCAAACGGTTGGTTGGATTTCCCTATACGCTGCTCCAGCACCCAGTGTGCTTCAGGTACATTAGTCCCAATTAGTAGACTGACCTGTTTACATTCGACGTCTAGAAAGGGAATTTCTGCCAGGTGAGGCCATTTTTTCATCTGTTCGTTTGAAGGAGTCTTAGGTCTCTTTACAGGTAAGCTTTCCACGGTGTAGGCACTCTTGACCCTCGTCTTGTAATCTCCCGTTAAGGATTCAACTTCGAAATCAACCTTAGATGAATTCTGAGAAGTAGTTCCACAGAAAGATGTTACCTGCATCAATGTATTAACCCCTTCCAGTCCTATTTGGCGGGCAACATGACTCAGCAGTAGTGTAGCATCTGAACCATTGTCAAGAAAGGCATAGGTATCTAGAAATCCTTTAGGACCTAAGATACGAATCGGCACATATCCTAAAAAGGAAGTTCCGGATTCCGTGCTAGAGTAGTTGACAGTCTGGCATGCTGAATTATCTTCATTGTGTAGAAGTTTATGATGACGTCTAGTGCATCCTACTATATCGCAACCTCTTGCTGCACGACAAGTGTCAGCTCGGTGATTAAGTTTCAAACAGTTGAAGCACACCTTATGCCGCATTGACACTGCTAGTCTCTCTTTGTGACTCATCGACAAAAAGCGTTGACATTCCCATAAGTCGTGATCTGTGAAGCAAACTATGCACGACTTCTGGGCTCGTGACTTCACGACATTAACACTGTGCGAAGGCATAGCTCTGGACATTTTATCATTGGACCCTACTTCGTTGTTGTTCCTATTCCCATTAGCTATCTGGCCGTAACAGCTTGTAGCCAATGACAGTTGCCTTTCGAGGAATTCTTTGAGGTAACGAAAGCTAGGTTCAGCAAACTGTAAACCATCGTTTACCAATTCTGCCCACTTCCATCGTAGGTGCAGGGGGAGATGTTGAACAATGCACTTAAGGTTGGTAGAGCAGTCCAAGTCTGCCATGTGATTCATCTGAGATAAGGCTATCTCACAATTGGTCATCTGTCTCAACAACCGTTGTAGCCCAACTATATCTTCAGGTTGCAGCTGTGGGCCTGACAGTAATTCGGAGAGGAAGGCATCCGAAACTGCATGAGGTTGGCCAAATTGACTTCGTAAAATCCCCATGGCTTTCCTATAGCCTACCTCAGAGGGCAGTAGAATGCAATGCTCTATGGCCTCCTTGGCTGTACCAACACAATTGTGTATAAGATGCATTAACCGTAGGTTGTCATCATTAGTTTGTTCTCCTATGAACATGTTAAAGCATCTTATAAACTTCAGGAACTTAGTTGGTGTACCATCGAACTTATCCATCTCAATTTGAGGCATTCTAATGGGGCTAACTGAGTTCAGGAGTGGTTGGACTGGTGTGGCAGTACAATTTGACTCTGGTGGTTGTTCTGCGCAATAGTTGGTGCTACCGTCTAGGAGTTGGCTTTTCGAAGGATTGGCGCAAGATCGAACGCAGCTGGCTGCAGTCTTAACTTGTTGAGAGCACTCGCTCTTCAGTTTTCGTTGTTTGCTGCGAAGTCTAAGCTCTTGAACCTTAAGCTCTAGGATCTCTAATTCGGTAGCAACATCCGAATCAACATCGGAGTCTACTACTACACTACCTCCCATAGCAATATTATCAAAACCTAGGCTGACATGAGGGGTGTGTTTAAAATTATCAAAATCAGATAAGGAAACAGGTAAAGAAGAAACTTGCGGTGAAGATAAATTGACTCGAAGATGTTCTTCAGCGTTTTCCAGACATATTACGAGTAACCGGCATTGATAATTGTCCAAATAGATCAACAAGACCAATTTTGAGTACTGTGAATTTCTCCCAAAAAAAATCCGAGACGATAATCCAAACTATACGTTTAACCACACGTAGGGTGACGCGTAAAGTCCAAAATACAGGATATTCTGCAATACGGTACTTTATTACATAGAAATGGATATATAATATACAAACCTCAAAATGTGAGGTGTCTGTGGCTAAATGTCGTCAAATGCACAACCACTGTGCAGTCAATAAGTAAAAACAGCAATGCTGTGTCAAGGTCGATCCACGTGTCGGTTCAAACGGCCCGCGAATGCCAAGCAGAGAATAAACAAATATGAACAAACAACTTTCAATAGTAAAGCATACACTATAGGGTAAATGCAGCAAATAATGTTTAAGGAGAAGAAAATTAAGAACTATACATTATTAGAATGATAATAGAACAAGTAATTTAACTGCAGTTGTAAGCAAATGTCATTGTTATAAATTAACATATAAAAATCATACTACTTACTAATGGCAAGTTGAAGAAAGGAAAGATTGAGAATGAACAGGTAGGAAAGGAATTAATACCGCCCTCTCAAAACCAGCCTGGTTTTCCCTACTCTACCTGCTAGTAAGACACAGAAATGGTACAATTTACTCTCGCCACATCTGCATCCACTATCCAGCTATATATCCTACAAAGTGCTTATCTCTCCTCAATACCTTCTAATAGGCAAACCTTACGCACATCTCGGTTGATTATACCCCTCGGTGTCTTGATATCCACTTATCTGATATACCCATCACAGATTGCCGTAACGCCTGTAATTATTCCCATTGACCAACGATTGCGAGGTGAAGGCTCAGCAGTCACTAGTACTAGGTCTCCCACTTGTAAGTTTCGATGTCGTTGAAACCACTTTGCACGCGATTGTAAGGTCGTCAAGTACACCCGCTTCCACCATCTCCAAAACGTATCGGCAAGGAGTTGCCCTTGTTTCCATCGTCGTGAATAACGTCCACATAAACTAACGTCGATTTCAGGAACCTGTTCAGGATTTCTTGATAAGAGAATATGATTTGGTGTCAGCACATCCAACTGACTTGGGTCATCATAAACAGGTACTAGCGGCCTACTATTTAGTATCCTTTCTACTTCTGTCAAATAGGTCATGAGTGATTCATCTGTGAGGACTTGCTCCTTCGAAACTGCGCTTAACACTCGACGTACGCTTCTGATCAACCCCTCCCATACTCTGCCACGGTGGCTAGCATAAGGTGGATTTAACTTCCATTCTATACCACGATTTGCCATAGCTCTCATCATACAATCACTGTCTAATTGTGGCACAACTTGCTGTAACTCACGATCAGCCCCACAAAGTTTGTACCCCGGTCACTGAATATCTCCCTCGGAGTCCCCCTGCGGTTGGTAAAGCGTGAAAGCATCATTAGGAATGAATCAATAGAAAGAGCGTAAGCTACTTCTAAGTGAACCGCTCGAGTTTTCAAACAAGTGAATATGCATCCATGTCTTTTGTCTGTAGTCCGCCCCCGCCTAACGATAAAGGGGCCGAAGTAATCTACCCCGGTGCTAGAGAATGGAAAATCTGACGTGACCCTTGCTATGGTTAATTCTGCCATCAGTTGTTCAGTAGGTTTTGCAGACCTGATTCGGCAACCGATGCATTTATTCACCACACGCTTAACTACTGACGCTCCTTTCAATATCCAATATTTCATACGCAATGCTGACAAAAGATGGACTACTCCCATATGTCCTTCAGTCTCATGATAATAACGAACAATAACCTCCGTGACAGGATGAGTTCCTGGCAATATAACTGGATGTTTTTCCGAACTTGACAGTTGACTATTATTCAGTCGTCCGCCGACACATATCAAGTCACCTAAGATGACAGGATGCAGTTTCTTGATACGTTGAAGGAGTGGCTTGTATTTACTATCCAAATAGCGTTCACACATAACTCCTTTGATTTTACCGAACTCTTGTTTTTGCACGTATCTAAGGATATCTTCCTCTGCCTCTAACATCTCACACGTTTGTAAAGGGCCTTGCACTAGACGTTTTAGTAGAAAAACTTTAAACCTTTTTAACCAGGCTACCGCTCTACGAAGTTTTGTCCAAGAAGAGAAATACGAGAATAAGGTGTCTATCGGATTTACGGCTGTTTGTGTCGTTAAGATGGTGGCTTGCTTTAGCTTTATGTCAGATGGAATTATTGGCACGCTTCTTCCATCGAAATTCGGCCAATCCTTTTTAGGATTTTGAGAAATCCAGGACCATCGAGCCAGGTATGTATACGCTCGTACTCACTCATCTTTATTCCCCTGGAAGCAAGGTCAGCTGAATTCATATTAGTTGGTACATGTCGCCATTGAGCCCGCGTAGTGTTATCAAGTGTAAACCCTACTCTGTTAGCTATGTAGGTTTTGAAGCGGGATGTGGTATTGCGGATGTAGCTTAACACAATCATAGAATCTGTCCATAGATAAACATCACTTAGTTCCAACTTTATTTCCTCTAAGATGTATTTTAACAGCTTCACTGAGAGCACGGCTGCCTGTAGTTCTAAACGTGGCACGGTGACATGCTTCAAGGGAGCCACTCTAGATTTGCCCATAACAAAGCTGCAGCTTACTTCCCCTGAACAGGACTCGTAACGTAGATATGCTACTGAACCGAAACCTATTTCAGAGGCATCCGAAAATAAGTGCATTGAAACTGCTATAGGACTGAAGGTCTGGGGTCGAAAACAACGTTGAACCTCTAGATCCTTAATTCTCTTAATGTCAACAAGCCAAGCCTCCCATTTGGCACCGATACTCACGTCAACATGTTCATCCCACCCAAACTCACTTCGGCACAGGTGTTGCATTACTCTTTTAGGTGGAAGTAGTAGTGGGGCGACATAACCGAGTGGATCATATAAAGAAGCTATGCACGACAAGATTCCCCTCTTCGTTATCGGACGTACTGGCAGATTTACTTCAAACTTGAAGCAATCTGACTTGACACACCAGCATAAACCCAGTGTCTTCAAAAAAAAAGTCGAATCTTCTAAATGCAGTATGTTTGAGGACCGCTCACGAACGGGAATGTTGGATAACACTTCTTCATTGTTACTATTCCATTTGTGCAAACGAAATCCACCAAGAGAGGCGAGCTGACGCAGCTGGTTGGATAAAGCTATGGCTTTTGCTACTGTTTCTACTGAGACTAGACAATCATCCACATAGAAATTTTCTCTGACAGTGCTTAATGTCTTCTCGTCAAACAATTTCGCGTTGTCGATTGCGGCTTGTTTTGAAGCATAGGCTGCACAAAAAGGTGATGAGGTAGCACCGAAGGGATGTACGTTTGATTCATACAGGCTCGGTGGTAAGTCCAGTCTACCCTCAGAATACCATAAGAAACTAAAGGCACTTTTATCCTTGACAGGTAAGTGAACCTGAAGAAACATCTCCTCAATATCTGCTGACAAGGCTACCCGATGTTTTCTAAATCTCAATAGTACCCCAGCCAAGTCATCTATCAGATCAGGTCCCGAATACAGACAATCGTTCAAGGACATTCCCTTACATTTAAAGGCACAATCGAAAACCACTCTAATTTTACCAGGCTTGCGGGGATTTATAACTGGGTGGTGAGGGATAAATCTACGTTTCTTGGAGAAGTCGTCAGGAACGCGACTAATACAACACTTCAACTCATGGTCTGTTAGTATTTGATTGTAGGACTTTAATAGGCTTTCGTCCTTTCTTAGTTTCTTCTGAAGACTGTCCAGCCTGCGTTCTGCCTCAGACCTATTAGGCGGTAATCTACGCCAGTCCTCTTTCCAAGTCAATGGAACTTCATAATGTCCGTTCCGCAATCTTATCTCCCTATCGGTTGCCTTCAGAACCTCTTTATCTATTTCAGAACTGGACCTTTCGCATGAGTGCTTGTCCTGAAATTCAGCTTCAATCATTCGCAAAAGCTTGTTCTCTACTGATTCACTTTCCTCTAAGCAGAAGATAGAGGTTGCTTCTTTATATTCGTTTCCTGAACCCAATAAATACCAACCAAAAACTGACAAAGATGCAAACGGTTGGTTGGATTTCCCTATACGCTGCTCCAGCACCCAGTGTGCTTCAGGTACATTAGTCCCAATTAGTAGACTGACCTGTTTACATTCGACGTCTAGAAAGGGAATTTCTGCCAGGTGAGGCCATTTTTTCATCTGTTCGTTTGAAGGAGTCTTAGGTCTCTTTACAGGTAAGCTTTCCACGGTGTAGGCACTCTTGACCCTCGTCTTGTAATCTCCCGTTAAGGATTCAACTTCGAAATCAACCTTAGATGAATTCTGAGAAGTAGTTCCACAGAAAGATGTTACCTGCATCAATGTATTAACCCCTTCCAGTCCTATTTGGCGGGCAACATGACTCAGCAGTAGTGTAGCATCTGAACCATTGTCAAGAAAGGCATAGGTATCTAGAAATCCTTTAGGACCTAAGATACGAATCGGCACATATCCTAAAAAGGAAGTTCCGGATTCCGTGCTAGAGTAGTTGACAGTCTGGCATGCTGAATTATCTCCATTGTGTAGAAGTTTATGATGACGTCTAGTGCATCCTACTATATCGCAACCTCTTGCTGCACGACAAGTGTCAGCTCGGTGATTAAGTTTCAAACAGTTGAAGCACACCTTATGCCGCATTGACACTGCTAGTCTCTCTTTGTGACTCATCGACAAAAAGCGTTGACATTCCCATAAGTCGTGATCTGTGAAGCAAACTATGCACGACTTCTGGGCTCGTGACTTCACGACATTAACACTGTGCGAAGGCATAGCTCTGGACATTTTATCATTGGACCCTACTTCGTTGTTGTTCCTATTCCCATTAGCTATCTGGCCGTAACAGCTTGTAGCCAATGACAGTTGCCTTTCGAGGAATTCTTTGAGGTAACGAAAGCTAGGTTCAGCAAACTGTAAACCATCGTTTACCAATTCTGCCCACTTCCATCGTAGGTGCAGGGGGAGACGTTGAACAATGCACTTAAGGTTGGTAGAGCAGTCCAAGTCTGCCATGTGATTCATCTGAGATAAGGCTATCTCACAATTGGTCATCTGTCTCAACAACCGTTGTAGCCCAACTATATCTTCAGGTTGCAGCTGTGGGCCTGACAGTAATTCGGAGAGGAAGGCATCCGAAACTGCATGAGGTTGGCCAAATTGACTTCGTAAAATCCCCATGGCTTTCCTATAGCCTACCTCAGAGGGCAGTAGAATGCAATGCTCTATGGCCTCCTTGGCTGTACCAACACAATTGTGTATAAGATGCATTAACCGTAGGTTGTCATCATTAGTTTGTTCTCCTATGAACATGTTAAAGCATCTTATAAACTTCAGGAACTTAGTTGGTGTACCATCGAACTTATCCATCTCAATTTGAGGCATTCTAATGGGGCTAACTGAGTTCAGGAGTGGTTGGACTGGTGTGGCAGTACAATTTGACTCTGGTGGTTGTTCTGCGCAATAGTTGGTGCTACCGTCTAGGAGTTGGCTTTTCGAAGGATTGGCGCAAGATCGAACGCAGCTGGCTGCAGTCTTAACTTGTTGAGAGCACTCGCTCTTCAGTTTTCGTTGTTTGCTGCGAAGTCTAAGCTCTTGAACCTTAAGCTCTAGGATCTCTAATTCGGTAGCAACATCCGAATCAACATCGGAGTCTACTACTACACTACCTCCCATAGCAATATTATCAAAACCTAGGCTGACATGAGGGGTGTGTTTAAAATTATCAAAATCAGATAAGGAAACAGGTAAAGAAGAAACTTGCGGTGAAGATAAATTGACTCGAAGATGTTCTTCAGCGTTTTCCAGACATATTACGAGTAACCGGCATTGATAATTGTCCAAATAGATCAACAAGACCAATTTTGAGTACTGTGAATTTCTCCCAAAAAAAATCCGAGACGATAATCCAAACTATACGTTTAACCACACGTAGGGTGACGCGTAAAGTCCAAAATACAGGATATTCTGCAATACGGTACTTTATTACATAGAAATGGATATATAATATACAAACCTCAAAATGTGAGGTGTCTGTGGCTAAATGTCGTCAAATGCACAACCACTGTGCAGTCAATAAGTAAAAACAACAATGCTGTGTCAAGGTCGATCCACGTGTCGGTTCAAACGGCCCGCGAATGCCAAGCAGAGAATAAACGAATATGAACAAACAACTTTCAATAGTAAAGCATACACTATAGGGTAAATGCAGCAAATAATGTTTAAGGAGAAGAAAATTAAGAACTATACATTATTAGAATGATAATAGAACAAGTAATTTAACTGCAGTTGTAAGCAAATGTCATTGTTATAAATTAACATATAAAAATCATACTACTTACTAATGGCAAGTTGAAGAAAGGAAAGATTGAGAATGAACAGGTAGGAAAGGAATTAATACCGCCCTCTCAAAACCAGCCTGGTTTTCCCTACTCTACCTGCTAGTAAGACACAGAAATGGTACAATTTACTCTCGCCACATCTGCATCCACTATCCAGCTATATATCCTACAAAGTGCTTATCTCTCCTCAATACCTTCTAATAGGCAAACCTTACGCACATCTCGGTTGACTATACCCCTCGGTGTCTTGATATCCACTTTTCTGATATACCCATCACAGCTTGCCGTAACACCTGTAATTATTCCCATTGACCAACGATTGCGAGGTGAAGGCTCAGCAGTCACTAGTACTAGGTCTCCCACTTGTAAGTTTCGATGTCGTTGAACCCACTTTGCACGCGATTGTAAGGTCGTCAAGTACACCCGCTTCCACCGTCTCCAAAACGTATCGGCAAGGAGTTGCCCTTGTTTCCATCGTCGTGAATAACGTCCACATAAACTAACGTCGATTTCAGGAACCTGTTCAGGATTTCTTGATAAGAGAATATGATTTGGTGTCAGCACATCCAACTGACTTGGGTCATCATAAACAGGTACTAGCGGCCTACTATTTAGTATCCTTTCTACTTCTGTCAAATAGGTCATGAGTGATTCATCTGTGAGGACTTGCTCCTTCGAAACTGCGCTTAACACTCGACGTACGCTTCTGATCAACCCCTCCCATACTCTGCCACGGTGGCTAGCATAAGGTGGATTTAACTTCCATTCTATACCACGATTTGCCATAGCTCTCATCATACAATCACTGTCTAATTGTGGCACAACTTGCTGTAACTCACGATCAGCCCCACAAAGTTTGTACCCCGGTCACTGAATATCTCCCTTGGAGTCCCCCTGCGGTTGGTAAAGCGTGAAAGCATCATTAGGAATGAATCGATAGAAAGAGCGTAAGCTACTTCTAAGTGAACCGCTCGAGTTTTCAAACAAGTGAATATGCATCCATGTCTTTTGTCTGTAGTCCGCCCCCGCCTAACGATAAAGGGGCCGAAGTAATCTACCCCGGTGCTAGAGAATGGAAAATCTGACGTGACCCTTGCTATGGTTAATTCTGCCATCAGTTGTTCAGTAGGTTTTGCAGACCTGATTCGGCAACCGATGCATTTATTCACCACACGCTTAACTACTGCCGCTCCTTTCAATATCCAATATTTCATACGCAATGCTGACAAAAGATGGGCTACTCCCATATGTCCTTCAGTCTCATGATAATAACGAACAATAACCTCCGTGACAGGATGAGTTCCTGGCAATATAACTGGATGTTTTTCCGAACTTGACAGTTGACTATTATTCAGTCGTCCGCCGACACATATCAAGTCACCTAAGATGACAGGATGCAGTTTCTTGATACGTTGAAGGAGTGGCTTGTATTTACTATCCAAATAGCGTTCACACATAACTCCTTTGATTTTACCGAACTCTTGTTTTTGCACGTATCTAAGGATATCTTCCTCTGCCTCTAACATCTCACACGTTTGTAAAGGGCCTTGCACTAGACGTTTTAGTAGAAAAACTTTAAACCTTTTTAACCAGGCTACCGCTCTACGAAGTTTTGTCCAAGAAGAGAAATACGAGAATAAGGTGTCTATCGGATTTACGGCTGTTTGTGTCGTTAAGATGGTGGCTTGCTTTAGCTTTATGTCAGATGGAATTATTGGCACGCTTCTTCCATCGAAATTCGGCCAATCCTTTTTAGGATTTTGAGAAATTCAGGACCATCGAGCCAGGTATGTATACGCTCGTACTCACTCATCTTTATTCCCCTGGAAGCAAGGTCAGCTGAATTCATATTAGTTGGTACATGTCGCCATTGAGCCCGCGTAGTGTTATCAAGTATAAACCCTACTCTGTTAGCTATGTAGGTTTTGAAGCGGGATGTGGTATTGCGGATGTAGCTTAACACAATCATAGAATCTGTCCATAGATAAACATCACTTAGTTCCAACTTTATTTCCTCTAAGATGTATTTTAACAGCTTCACTGAGAGCACGGCTGCTTGTAGTTCTAAACGTGGCACGGTGACATGCTTCAAGGGAGCCACTCTAGATTTGCCCATAACAAAGCTGCAGCTTACTTCCCCTGAACAGGACTCGTAACGTAGATATGCTACTGAACCGAAACCTATTTCAGAGGCATCCGAAAATAAGTGCATTGAAACTGCTATAGGACTGAAGGTCTGGGGTCGAAAACAACGTTGAACCTCTAGATCCTTAATTCTCTTAATGTCAACAAGCCAAGCCTCCCATTTGGCACCGATACTCACGTCAACATGTTCATCCCACCCAAACTCACTTCGGCACAGGTGTTGCATTACTCTTTTAGGTGGAAGTAGTAGTGGGGCGACATAACCGAGTGGATCATATAAAGAAGCTATGCACGACAAGATTCCCCTCTTCGTTATCGGACGTACTGGCAGATTTACTTCAAACTTGAAGCAATCTGACTTGACACACCAGCATAAACCCAGTGTCTTCCGATCGTCGTCGAATCTTCTAAATGCAGTATGTTTGAGGACCGTTCACGAACGGGAATGTTGGATAACACTTCTTCATTGTTACTATTCCATTTGTGCAAACGAAATCCACCAAGAGAGGCGAGCTGACGCAGCTGGTTGGATAAAGCTATGGCTTTTGCTACTGTTTCTACTGAGACTAGACAATCATCCACATAGAAATTTTCTCTGACAGTGCTTAATGTCTTCTCGTCAAACAATTTCGCGTTGTCGATTGCGGCTCGTTTTAAAGCATAGGCTGCACAAAAAGGTGATGAGGTAGCACCGAAGGGATGTACGTTTAATTCATACAGGCTCGGTGGTAAGTCCAGTCTACCCTCAGAATACCATAAGAAACTAAAGGCACTTTTATCCTTGACAGGTAAGTGAACCTGAAGAAACATCTCCTCAATATCTGCTGACAAGGCTATCCGATGTTTTCTAAATCTCAATAGTACCCCAGCCAAGTCATCCATCAGATCAGGTCCCGAATACAGACAATCGTTCAAGGACATTCCCTTACATTTAAAGGCACAATCGAAAACCACTCTAATTTTACCAGGCTTGCGGGGATTTATAACTGGGTGGTGAGGGATAAATCTACGTTTCTTGGAGAAGTCGTCAGGAACGCGACTAATACAACCCTTCAACTCATGGTCTGTTAGTATTTGATTGTAGGACTTTAATAGGCTTTCGTCCTTTCTTAGTTTCTTCTGAAGACTGTCCAGCCTGCGTTCTGCCTCAAACCTATTAGGCGGTAATCTACGCCAGTCCTCTTTCCAAGTCAATGGAACTTCATAATGTCCGTTCCGCAATCTTATCTCCCTATCGGTTGCCTTCAGAACCTCTTTATCTATTTCAGAACTGGACCTTTCGCATGAGTGCTTGTCCTGAAATTCAGCTTCAATCATTCGCAAAAGCTTGTTCTCTACTGATTCACTTTCCTCTAAGCAGAAGATAGAGGTTGCTTCTTTATATTCGTTTCCTGAACCCAATAAATACCAACCAAAAACTGACAAAGATGCAAACGGTTGGTTGGATTTCCCTATACGCTGCTCCAGCACCCAGTGTGCTTCAGGTACATTAGTCCCAATTAGTAGACTGACCTGTTTACATTCGACGTCTAGAAAGGGAATTTCTGCCAGGTGAGGCCATTTTTTCATCTGTTCGTTTGAAGGAGTCTTAGGTCTCTTTACAGGTAAGCTTTCCACGGTGTAGGCACTCTTGACCCTCGTCTTGTAATCTCCCGTTAAGGATTCAACTTCGAAATCAACCTTAGATGAATTCTGAGAAGTAGTTCCACAGAAAGATGTTACCTGCATCAATGTATTAACCCCTTCCAGTCCTATTTGGCGGGCAACATGACTCAGCAGTAGTGTAGCATCTGAACCATTGTCAAGAAAGGCATAGGTATCTAGAAATCCTTTAGGACCTAAGATACGAATCGGCACATATCCTAAAAAGGAAGTTCCGGATTCCGTGCTAGAGTAGTTGACAGTCTGGCATGCTGAATTATCTTCATTGTGTAGAAGTTTATGATGACGTCTAGTGCATCCTACTATATCGCAACCTCTTGCTGCACGACAAGTGTCAGCTCGGTGATTAAGTTTCAAACAGTTGAAGCACACCTTATGCCGCATTGACACTGCTAGTCTCTCTTTGTGACTCATCGACAAAAAGCGTTGACATTCCCATAAGTCGTGATCTGTGAAGCAAACTATGCACGACTTCTGGGCTCGTGACTTCACGACATTAACACTGTGCGAAGGCATAGCTCTGGACATTTTATCATTGGACCCTACTTCGTTGTTGTTCCTATTCCCATTAGCTATCTGGCCGTAACAGCTTGTAGCCAATGACAGTTGCCTTTCGAGGAATTCTTTGAGGTAACGAAAGCTAGGTTCAGCAAACTGTAAACCATCGTTTACCAATTCTGCCCACTTCCATCGTAGGTGCAGGGGGAGACGTTGAACAATGCACTTAAGGTTGGTAGAGCAGTCCAAGTCTGCCATGTGATTCATCTGAGATAAGGCTATCTCACAATTGGTCATCTGTCTCAACAACCGTTGTAGCCCAACTATATCTTCAGGTTGCAGCTGTGGGCCTGACAGTAATTCGGAGAGGAAGGCATCCGAAACTGCATGAGGTTGGCCAAATTGACTTCGTAAAATCCCCATGGCTTTCCTATAGCCTACCTCAGAGGGCAGTAGAATGCAATGCTCTATGGCCTCCTTGGCTGTACCAACACAATTGTGTATAAGATGCATTAACCGTAGGTTGTCATCATTAGTTTGTTCTCCTATGAACATGTTAAAGCATCTTATAAACTTCAGGAACTTAGTTGGTGTACCATCGAACTTATCCATCTCAATTTGAGGCATTCTAATGGGGCTAACTGAGTTCAGGAGTGGTTGGACTGGTGTGGCAGTACAATTTGACTCTGGTGGTTGTTCTGCGCAATAGTTGGTGCTACCGTCTAGGAGTTGGCTTTTCGAAGGATTGGCGCAAGATCGAACGCAGCTGGCTGCAGTCTTAACTTGTTGAGAGCACTCGCTCTTCAGTTTTCGTTGTTTGCTGCGAAGTCTAAGCTCTTGAACCTTAAGCTCTAGGATCTCTAATTCGGTAGCAACATCCGAATCAACATCGGAGTCTACTACTACACTACCTCCCATAGCAATATTATCAAAACCTAGGCTGACATGAGGGGTGTGTTTAAAATTATCAAAATCAGATAAGGAAACAGGTAAAGAAGAAACTTGCGGTGAAGATAAATTGACTCGAAGATGTTCTTCAGCGTTTTCCAGTTCTCTAGACATATTACGAGTAACCGGCATTGATAATTGTCCAAATAGATCAACAAGACCAATTTTGAGTACTGTGAATTTCTCCCAAAAAAAATCCGAGACGATAATCCAAACTATACGTTTAACCACACGTAGGGTGACGCGTAAAGTCCAAAATACAGGATATTCTGCAATACGGTACTTTATTACATAGAAATGGATATATAATATACAAACCTCAAAATGTGAGGTGTCTGTGGCTAAATGTCGTCAAATGCACAACCACTGTGCAGTCAATAAGTAAAAACAACAATGCTGTGTCAAGGTCGATACACGAGTCGTTTGTGATGGATTAGCGAAGTATAACATAGGGAACACAATATTTTGAGGGCACAACTTGCTTTGGCATGCCAGACGTTTCGAGCACACTGTGAGATGTACGTTCTATTTATTACATGTAGTCTTAAATACTGATGTTGCAACGTAACACGTGGGAATCTTTGGATAACAAATAGACGAGTTCATCCTTCTGCTTGTCTCAGCATTTAGCATCAACGCTCTGTTTCACGATGATTTTGCCACTTCGACTGATGTAGTAGTTGACCACGTCTGTCTAATTCACTTATTATTTTTTTATCGTAAATTACTATTGTGCATACAACCTGTTTACAGTCTACCAGCGGAAGTGATCACTGAAAAGCAGTAAAAGTACCTCATTACGCTTTCTTCAATTACATGTGATTGTGACTCTTCACGCACGTTACGTCTTCTAGGTCAGCATCGCTTTTCACTTCAACAAATAATAAGCAACAATTATATATAAATATCTTGCTAACATTTCAAAAATATTTATTTTGATAAAAACATTCATCATATCACAAATGTTTCGTCATCCACACGTATATCCTCTATTCTCGATTCAGAACTCAATTAGTCAGTTGAAAGATTTCAGAGGAAACGATCGTCGCCTGTAAAATGAAAACAGTAGAAGATGTGTTACAGAACGGTTAGTATCAAGTGAGTGCTAAGAAAATAGTTACCTATTATTTAATAGGTGGTTTCTCAACTATTATCCTCTCAATCAGTCAACAGATATTCCATTACAGCAGTGAAATTTATGAGTGTTACGATATATACATCACCCTCATATTTGAAAAATTTCTTCGTCATTTAGGAAGATTTCTTCCATCTACCAAAATTGTTCCACATTTCACATGGTAATCAACACTTCACAAGAACTTTTAACATTCCTGGTGCACAGCAACAACCCACATCGATGAGAAGTAGATGTTCGGCAAATATGCCAAAGACGAAGACTTTCCTCCATTTTTGTAACAATTTGTTGAAATCTGTTATTAAAAATGCGTTTCAGTCGAGAAAACACCTGAAAACAACGAAAAACAACTCAAATACAACATCAAGAAAACAGCTGATTTCTGCAGAAATCAGCTGATGTGTGGAGATAGCAATGGATTGGAGAATTTATCACCTACATTGATCAACGTCGATACTACTTGAAGTGTGATGCTGATTGGAAACACCAGATTGAGTAGTTTATAACTGAACGAACAGCTGTTGATTTTCCAGTACTCGTCATTTCTCGGATATATTGCTGATTATTCAGTATTTGCCAGGTTCAGCCTAACTGATGTATATCCATCAGTCTGAAATGCATCAAAGTTTCTCCAAACTAGAAGGCAATCGTCCATGGAACTCATGAATTCCATCTGCGAAAGATGATGATGTGTGACCTGTGTAGCCTAATGAACAGTAGGCACTTATTTCCACTGAACACCATACTCATTATTCTAACTGAAAACTCCGATCAACAATGAATTATATACAGTGGCATAGAGCAATAGTCATTGTAGAATGAACAGTATCTCGATGGGTTCCGAGTGAAACCAACCTTAAACAAAACATTTCACCATCATGACGGTTCAGTGAAGGGACTCCTTCAGGTAATCTCATTTCTCTCGTACACAATCTCGTAGAAAACCTAACACTCCGCACCTGACAACTCCATTAGAATTTCAGTTAAATTCATAGTCTTGTAGCGGTAAATAATTCCCCAAAATTATTGACCACAGTAATCACTCATTGGATGCTGACCACCACTGTTTAAGTCGACTTGTTTAGCTGAAGGCTTCCTGTCAAACATCCCCGCCATTTGGTACCCCGTCGTGTCACGTGCACGATCACTAGCTAGCTAAGCGTTCGTCTGAAGGCTTGTTTTGGTCCCGAAATATATCACCAAGTTTGGACGATCAATTATTGGCTTTTGCTTTGTTTTCGGTACGCGAGAATAATTTAGAGGTTGTGTAAGATAATTCCGTCAACCTTTAACGTCTTTATGCACCATGACATCATTCATTGGTGTAATAAAGATGCGGGAAAACGGACAAACCAAGTAACAAATATTCGAATAACAGATAGAAGCGTTGACATCAAATGTGATGAGACTTGCCTTCATAATCTGGAAGCAGTTTCTGCACATCAGCTGTTTCATTCCTCAGGAATTCGACATGTTGAAGAAGGAAACCAATAAAGTTAATTTAATGGAAGCGGATGCTAACGTCATGCTTATTCTGCATCTCCTCATACACGCTTGTATATATACCAGAATTCCTGAGAGAAAATCTGTGCATTTTTATATACCAATGGCAGAATACGAGAGAGATTGAATGAATATCTGATGTTAACGAGTGTTTTCAATGGAAACACCTATTTTCCACCAAATTTAATTATCCATCAACCAACAGATTCATAGTCACTAGGAGTAGTATTCTCGGGCTCGTATGTAACATCACTCAATGGACATCTCACAGTATGTTCCATCCATCCATCCGGCTCTTAAAATCCGTAACACGCAGAAAGCCTTGAAGGGTCTCACTGTGTTGAACTACTTCCCATGAAGTTTAAGTACATGTATATGTGAAAGTGAAATTAATATTTAGTACTGAATTCAATGCATTCTATCTATGCAGTACAGTGAAAAACTGATGCAGGAAAGCGGACAAACAAATAAACGGATATTCAATTCACAGATAGAAGCGTTGATATCAAATGTGATGAGACTTACCTTCATAACCCGGAAGCAATCTCTCTACCTCAACTGTTTCATTCCTCAGGAATTCGGCATCTTGAAGAAAACACTGAAGACAATATAATCGAAACGAGTACACTCTCACATTTGCGGTTGTGATTTTGACAAATACATGAAAAGGCTAACGGTCCATCTCTGTGAGACGTGAATATGCAATTTAAAAGAAGAGGAAGAAGAGAGCAGGTCGAATACTCTTATGAGAGCATCTGAGGTGTACATCGTGTGTCTCATGGATTGTAAAATTGCCTCAACCACTACCAATTCTATCTCCACATGATTCCGTCAATTAGCACAATGAAGATAATCGCAACAAATCGAAACTTTAAAAAATGCAAGTATCTAGTTACATTTCATCATCACATGTACTGGTCCAGACAGATAATGGAGTGAGAAATGACTTACCTGCTGATCCAGATGAGCACAGAAAGAAAGCGGTTATAAATAGGTAAGTAAGTGTGCATGCAAACGCCATGGTTATTCTGCACCTCACCATTAACGGTTGTATTTATATTGAAGTGAAAAATAGAAAGGCTATTCTGTACTCAAATGTCATTGGTAGATTAGGAAAGATGAAGTAAATATATGATGTTATCGGATGTTTCAATGGCACCACCTGCTTTCTATATAATAGCGGTTTTCCGCCTCTGATTGTGGGATGCGTATTAAGTATTGGAGTTTATCGTCGAGGTAACTGATGAAAACTGTCGCAGGACTACATAGTTGAGACGCTTTTTATTCACTATAATATGGAATACGTAACAGATCAATTCTCAAGTCAACGGCTTCATTATTTTTATTAAAATCAAAGTGAAAGTTATTCAATGTAACTATGTAATGAAAGAAATTACTTCATTTTCACTCACCTTTATGACATACGATGTTAACGATAGAGCCAGCCAAATATCACATCATCTCTTGTCAGTTCTCTACATTGTTTCTGAAGATATCAATAAGGTCACCCAGCCTACACAACTCACCATTCTTACACACTTAGAAATAAAATGATTTTAATTAAAATACGAAATCAAGAGTTATAACAAGAGAGTCAGGTTTCTGATGACTTCCCAATCCACAGAAATAAATGTCGGCCAGTTTCTCTCGTCTGGAGTTCACATGGAATTAGAATTTCCAAAGTGAAAGCTGCACGGACAATTGCGAATCACATAGCAGGTTTTTAAAGCATCCAAATAATGAATGGGTGGCATGTGAGCCTGATGTCAGAGCCTGGTACACAATGCTCCCTCTCGCGCATAAATTTGTTTGAAAATTGTTGACTACTGTGGCTTCCGTAGACTGCACCATGTTCAAATTCCTCTGTCTGAACAAGGAGCTCTGAGGATGTGCTTATTAACAGGAAACAGCATGAGCGTAGAAGGTCGTACGAGGCTGGTGAGCTTCGTACAGGTTGCATGGAAACCTTCAGCACCTAAAGTATCCGCAGCTAGGCTAGGAATTTACTGAATTCATATTAGGTCGATGGAGTTTGACCTATCGGTTTTGGCCTTGGGTTTGCTTTGGTGCATTGGGAAATATTTTCGCGAATATATTTCTAGCAAACTTTGAAAATAGTCGGTTGAAAGATGAAATAGCAAAAATGGAAGTGTACTGTCATTGCATGGATGACTCTCTTGTAGTGTACGATTGAGGGTTAAGTAGCGTTTTGATATTAAGCAAATTAAGTAGTGCTCACCCAGCCATACATTTCAACTATGAAAAAGAACACAATGACTCTCTACATCTCCTTGACATCCTACTCACGAGGAGAGAGGATGGTTCCGTCAAAAGAACCCTTTTTAGAAAGCCAGACAACAAAGCTCAGTATACACACTTCCTTAGCCTCGTACCGATGGAAATAAAACGTAATCTGATGGAGTTCTTAGCATTTAGAGCGGGGTCCATTTGTTCTGAAGACCATGAAAAAAAAATTGCATCTAGAATAGAAAGCTTTATGGATTGCCCTTGTTAAACTTTGCGAAAGGGTCTCCATATGACAACTATCCTTGAATTGTAGAGGTAAAAATAGAGGCTTTTTATAAACCGTCACCAGTTAATGTTCACGATTAATTTAACCTATGTGGGCTTTCATAAACTTCTC